ACTCATAAGATGGGTCGCGCTTTTTCTCGCCAGACAAGATCGGCTGCTCATGTTTTAACTGGTACCTATAAGTTATATATATTTCTCATATATGTTACGGTAAATTTTGAACGCGACATTGCTTTAAAATAGCGATGTACAGAAAATGAAATAGCGATATTGGACACAAATTAAACTCTGTCTAAATTGTGAGAGCAACGTGGGAAAAACAATGACAATGCTTCAAGTGACAACAATGTTTTCAAGCGGCGACAATGCTTGTTTTGAAAATCAGACAAGCCACATACATATCCACTCCAACACGCCCTCTATAGTCTTATTTCCTCATTCCAATGCGTCATCTCAGACACATGCTGTGGGCGAAATCACTTTCAACAAAGCTGAAACACCAGGGATTTCCCCGTGCTATAAACAGCAGCCTGACAAAGAATTTTTATATTCGACCTTTTGTTTGTTTTAGGAAAATCTCTGTATAACGTGATCAGTCGTATGATCATCGAGCGAGATCACAGTCCAAAAATCATGTATCGCACGATCAAAATTAACATTTTTCAATGATTATGAAATATTTAATAATGGCTAGCTGTGAATCTCGATAGCAAATTGACAATGCGTTAAACTTCGATAGTTGAGCTATTATCGTGCCATAGGAAAAGAAAATGCCTTATTCCGACAGCCATATAAGCAATAGGAATAATATGAAAGCATCTTGAACTGTATGTGCCAGTGTATGTAGTAGCAATAATATAAACAAGCTTTCGTTGGTATAGGGATGCAACTCACCTGGAAAATATATGGAGAATTTCGACGTTTCGAGCGAAGGCTCTTCGTCTGGATAGATAGATAGATATATAGATAGATAGATGATTTATTCAGTTTTAAAAGATTTTACAGCTGCATGATAATAGCTGAATTGCGTTAAAACTTTACAATTATAAGAATTTAAGAAACCTGATTAACAATGATTAACAAAGTTAACCGGAGTTACTATAGACAAAGGGCCTTTCGTCACGAGATTTTGGTCACCGCTCAGGGTAAGGACCCAGCCTGTGCCACTAACTACTGGGGTTAAATTGAATGGCCCAAATTCAGTATATATGTTAAAATATGCCTTACAAACAGGCTATAACTTTATATAGCTAGTGCAAATTGCTAGTTCCAAACTATTTGCACACTTCATGAAGATTCTAGGGTCGGTGATTTCAGTGACCAAAAGCTACACACGTAAAAATCGTACATCTTGTAACAAGTTTGTCAACAAGCCGTCAACAAGTTGTGTTCGCACTGCTTGTCACAAGTTGTCAACAAGTTTGGAACAAGCTGTTAACAATTTGCATCAACCTTGTTGATAGTATCAGACTTGTTACAAGGTTGTTCCAACACAAGTCCGATACAATCATGATATAGCAGTATTGTTACAACCTTGTGTCGTCAACCTTGTAACATTCTTGTTATATCATGACTGTATCAGACTTGTTAGAACAACCTTGTAACAAGTCTAATAATGCCATATCAAGCTTGTTTACAAGTTGTTAACAGTTTGTTCCAAACTTTGTTCTAACAACTGGGAACAAGCAGTGCGAACACATCTTGTCGACAGCTTGTGAACAGATTTGTAACAACTTGTTTGCATGCAGACTTGTAACAAGTTGTTTTTATGCGTGTAGAGGTATAGGGTCGGGAAAACGAAACCCCAGGAATTTTTCTTGCCCCAACATGTGATTGGTGATGTACAATGCATTTGCATTTTGCTATAGTCATGGTTTCCAAAATAAACACTCGAATATTTGGTTAGTATTAACGTGTTTTTTTTTTCATTTCAAGTATTTATAGTCTAGAGTGCTAATATCAGATTTTCGTTTCTTTTATCCGAAAGCTACGACGCTCTTTATTGCGCTGTTTCGAAATTTCTGGATCATGCTTATATCATGGCAAAAATCCAGAAGAATCATCTGAATCTAGCCTAATTTGGATCATAATCGCAACCATGCATGTCCATTTTGTCATATTTGGTTATGCTCTTCTTCACTGCAAACGAAAAATCTTTTGCCTAGGAATTTTGATATAATTTAACATATATAACTATACCATTCTCATGTTATAAAACTTCGTTTGAATTCAGTAGTTTTAAATACATGAAATGACACACCTTCCAACAATATGGAATTATAAAAAAACGAATTTAACCACATCTTTTTATATAAAACCAAAATCGGACAATGCCATGTAGAAAATTTACGAGGAATTGTTTTACGAATTGAAAGTCTATACACAACAACTGGCCTCTGTAGCTTCGACAATTTATAAATATCACACTGACAGAGACTAAAAGATATTTATGGAATTGAAAGCATGTGCTTGTTAGCTTTTCTTATTCACTATTATTGTCTTTGATCTGTAGGCTCCCGCGGTTATTAGCTTTTGTACTGAGCTAGTACGGTCTATCGAACTGTTTGTATAATAAGCGGAATTTATGTAGGGTAGATCTTCTTGCGTGTTTAAAACATCCAGCATTTCCCCCACAGGTTCTTTCTCAGATTGTGCACGTATTTCTGACAACCCAAAAAGCCCATAAACTGAGCTCTAATTCTTAGATAAGAGCTCTAATTCTTAGATAAGCGCTGGGCAAATACTGGCTGTCTGCTTGGCTTGTTGAGGTTGACAGTTGACATTGTGCCACTGTCTCGTACCCAGACGTCTCTTTAATATACTGATTTCGTTTTCATTATTACCAATTATTCTCTCGCCGCTTTTCCATCTGCTTTGGCTTTTCATCTACTTTCCTTTCGCGTTCGCGCTGTATTAAGAGACCAAGAGACGCCTGTGAGGAGGCAGACTGTGTCAACAATGTGACCCGGTATCAAGTTGGAACTGGTGAAAACACGGACTCTGTAACCTGGAGTGGTCAGGAACCATTCAATTATTAAGAAAGCATCGGACTGATAGGAATGCAACTACCTCGGAAAAATAAAAGGGTCGACGAAGAGCCTTCGATCGAAACGTCGAAGTTCTCCTTGTATTTTTCAGGTAGTTGTATCCCTATCAATTCAAAGCTTTCTTGTTATTGCCACTACCAACACTGACACAAACAGTTCAACAGTATCTTCTAAACAGATCTTGGTTTGGATGATATTGACGACCCCTCTCCCCAGTTCAATGTTGTTACCCCCTCTCCCCCAGGTCAACATTGAACTTCGAGATTGTCTCCGATGGTAACTCCGAATCGTAATGACTAATGGACCACAAGGCCGGAACAGCACTTCATTTCCGATTCCGCATTTACATTTCTGATTTCCCTGTGTACCTTCTGTGTTTGCTCACAGAAAATTCCCCTTAGTGGGCCAATATTACATAATTATAAGTAGGTGTCTTTAATCGATTCGCAACCGTAGGAGTTAGTTTCATTTGCAACTAGCGAGCGAGTCGTCAACAAGAAAGAGGCCGCAAAGAGTCTTTTAAATGCGCAAGAATGTTGTGTCGTGTCATTTGGCTTGTACTTTCCGTGTCTAATTTGGCAAATTCGTTAGCAGACAGCTGTTCAAACAATCGCAAGGGCACTACAAATAAATGCCATGTTACATACAAACACGGGCCAACGCAAGGGACGCCTTTATTTAAAGTTGGCGAAAAAACTTTTGTTGACACGCGAATATTTTTTTTGGTAGTATCATCGGAGAATCCCAGAGAAGAGTGTTCGTTGAATTTGAATGTTGGGGACATTTTAAAAAGGTCAGTACAAAAATCCGAACAATCTAGTGTAGCAGTACATCAAATCGGTTGTGTATGCCAGAGCCCGGCAAGGGTGTCTTTCTGCCGAGCGGAGAATTTTACCGCGAATGATGTCATTTTATATCTTACTATCTTCCGTCATTGCCGTGTGACCGGCGCAGATCTGGCAGTCTGGGGACGAGCTGCGGACTTGCGGGTCTTGTATTTAATGGATGACGTCATTCTACAAGACAACGGCGAAACGGAGGCTGATTTACAAGGATTATTTAATATCGGGACATTGACTTTACACAATTTGAAAAACAAGACAATACCCCGTATGTTTTTGTCCTATAATTGGGAAAAAATGGCCGAAATTCAGTTGAGTAAAATGCGGTTAGGATCAACTGTGAATATTTTGAAAACAACAATGCCGTATTTACAGTCACTTGAATTATCTGGAAACGACCTAAGGGCCCTACCAGATTTCCCATGGTGCAACAGGAGCTTGAAACTGCCGAGAAATTTGTCCCGTACTTTCATTATGAACGCGCATTATTCGGAAGGGGCGACAATAAATCCGCGTATATATCGTCGCTTTTACGTTGTTCACTTTAATCCCGGAATAGACGACTTCAAAATTCCTTCTGGTAGTTTAGATAAGATTTCGATACGTGGCGACAATCTGAAGTCTATTGAATCGACGATGTTTCACGGAATAACGGGTTTAAAAGTTATCGATTTAAGCTTGAACAAACTAAGCCATATTCCTGAGCGCATTTTCGAAAAAACACCCGATATCGTCTCGGTAAACTTTGCAAATAACAATCTCACTTGGTTGGATGGGAAAACTTTTGAGAACTTGACAAATCTTCGAAAATTGGATGCCGGGCACAACTATATTCACACGATACAAAATGGTTTTCTGTCGGACAAACTGGTGAACTTAGAAGCGATTGATTTTGAAAATAATCTGTTGCGCGTTATCGAAGCGCGCGCTTTTCCACGTAGCGTGTTTAACGCGTTGAAGAAAATTAATTTCCGCAAGAATAAATTTCGCGAAGTGCCGCAGTTTGGTTTCTACGTTCGAAATCTGGAGACTTACGACATTTCTGAAAACGGGATAGACTTTGCGGGCTTTGTGAAAACAGTTGATGCAGTTTTTATGCCCGACTTTTTATACGTTCACACCGATTCAGAAAGTTCTATCGATACGCGATCTCCGTATGAATCATCAATAAATTTTCGAAATAAAAAAATTCTCAATCTCGAACGCAACGCCATTGAACGTTTCGACTTGACGGAATTCAATAAAACAAGATTGATAACACTCGAGTTCATTTTAAAAGTTTTTACGATAAGTTTAACGGGAAACCCACTTCATTGTGATTGCAAGACGCGTGAATTGCAAATAAAGCTTTTAAATTGGACAAAAGGAAACACTGAGATCACTGAGAAGGATTTTGAAAGTTGGGTATGTCACACACCACCGGAATTACGTGGAATGAAAATTTTAAACGTCCCATCGAAAGACTTAAGATGCGAAAGGCGTTGCGGTAAATGCCCCAAACGTTGTACTTGCTACCGAAGCGATTCCGACTCTGTGACGCTCGTAGACTGTCGGAGACGAAACCTGACGATGCTACCCAGCATACTTCCAAACGGTATGGTTGAATTACGTTTGGAATACAACCAAATCGAAAACTTAACTTTTTCAAAAAACACGGAAAACGTTACCTCGCTTTATGCAAGTCATAACAAGCTACAACGCGTTTCCCTTACTTTAAAGCATTTCCCTTCGAAATTAAACGAAATCTATTTGGATTCAAACAAGCTAACAACACTCCCCAACGGTTTTCGAAATTTCACTCTATCGAGGATAAACTTACAGAATAACTTTTTCACGTGCGGCTGTGAGAATCGCTGGATGAAAAGTTGGTTGAAACAGCAAAGCAAAGCGTTTGTCGGCGGTGCGGAAAGTGTGGCTTGTAGCTCGGGTGGTATGAATCAAGCAAAACCGTTAGTTTCTGTCAAAGATACGGATTTTGTTTGCACAGAAACAGTCAAACCAAACGGCTATAATGTTAATGAGATCAAAGCCATCTCTGCTTACGTTTTGGCGGGATTTCTATTCACGCTTCTCGTAATGGTTGCATTAATTTATCGATTTCGTAAAGAACTTAAACTTGTATTGTACACTCGTTTTGATTGGCACCCGTTTGATCGTGTCGACGATTCCGACCCATCGAAAGTCTACGACGCGTTTGTGTCATTCAACATGCGCGACAAACAATGGGTGATGGACACTCTGCAGAATAAACTCGAAAATCATCATCCATCGTATAAATTATGCATCCACTACCGAGACTTTATCCCGGGGGCACCAATCGCCGAGACTATCCTGGAGAGTGTCAAGAAAAGCCGGCGTATGATAATGGTTTTGTCGCGAAATTTTATTCAAAGCGAATGGTGTATGTTGGAATTCCGGGCGGCGCATCGCAGGGTTTTAAAAGGTCGCACGAACTATCTCATAATCGTACTTTTTGACGACGTGAATGTCGACAGCTTGGACGATGAGTTGAAGTTGTATTTGAAGACCAACACGTATCTCAGTGTTCAGAGCAAATGGTTCTGGCAACAATTGAAGTACGCGCTACCACAAAAGAAACAGGAAACGAGTGATGGTTTCCTAGGCAACCAGGCACTCGACTCTGATGAAAAATACATTCAGGCATAAACTGGTTGTTTTTATATCATTGCACACACGCACTAAATCTCTTCACAAGACTAAGAATACATAAATAACATTAAGTAAGTTCCATTTCAAATTCACTGAGCTATTTGAAATGTAAACCAATTAAATACATACACATTTATTGTATATAGAAAATGTCCTTAGCCTAGCCCGCATTTCGGGTGTTTTGCCGCGGGTAGAACTTCTGACATACAGGCTGCTCGGAGCATGGGTCAATTCGGTATAATTTAAATTCATATATATTCCACCTGTATACTGTAAGTTGTTAAATTTTGTATACTATATTATACTAATACAGGTACTTATCTGTAAACGCCCACAAAGATGTTGAAGTCTTAGTTAATCACCCCTTTCGCTCGTCCAACTTCAATAAAAGCATTTGTACATTGTTCAATGTCTTCGTGACTGTGTGACGCTGATATCTGCACTCTGATACGAGATTTACCTTGGAGAGTAAAAACAAAATATGTCTTATTACACTGAACTACAGGGTCTCGTACTATGATTCCGTTTGAAGTAACACCAGACGAATAAGAGACGATCCTTACTGGACCTCTAAGAAGAACAGTTTAGAACTTATAAAGCTATATCCAGTACAAACAAAGTTAGTTTAGTTTAGGTTTCCTCGGCTCCTGTAGTAACACTGGATCAATAAGAGATGATCCTTACTGAACCTCTAGGAAGAACAGTTTAGAACTGATAGAACTATCCAGTATTATAAATAAAATTAGTTTAGTTTAGGTTTCCCCCAGTAGAAACACTGGATCAATAAGAGATGATCCTTACTGAACCTCTAGGAAGAACAGTTTAGAACTGATAGAGCTATCCAATATAAATAAAGTTAGTTTAGTTTTGATTTCCTCCTGTACTCTGTAGTAACACATTGGATCAATAAGAGATGATCCTTACTGGACCTCTAGGAAGAACAGTTTAGAACTGATAGAGCTATCCAGTATAAATAAAGTTAGTTTAGTTTAGGTTTCCTCCTGTAGTAACACTGGATCAATAAGAGATGATCCTTACTGAACCTCTAGGAAGAACAGTTTAGAACTGATAGAACTATCCAGTATTATAAATAAAATTAGTTTAGTTTAGGTTTCCCCCAGTAGAAACACTGGATCAATAAGAGATGATCCTTACTGAACCTCTAGGAAGAACAGTTTAGAACTGATAGAGCTATCCAATATAAATAAAGTTAGTTTAGTTTTGATTTCCTCCTGTACTCTGTAGTAACACATTGGATCAATAAGAGATGATCCTTACTGGACCTCTAGTGAGAAAAATTTAGAACTGATAGAGCTATCCAGTATAAACAAAGTTAGTTTAGTTTAGGTTTCCTCCTGTAGTAACACTGGATCAATAAGAGATGATCCTTACTGAACCTCTAGAGAAAACAGTTTAGAACTGACATAACATCGGCTCGTTATAACACTGCCGTTACCACTAGTCAATATACTTACCAACAGGGACAACTGGAAATGTAAATCCAATCACATATATCTCTCTCTCTGAAAAAAATGTAAGTCCAGTAAGCATACAGTCAGTACCACAGGGAAAACAAATACAGATTTAACAGATAGATATTCATAAGGTATGTGAAATATACTTTGCATGTTAACATAATAACTCACTTAGCATTTCATCAGCAAACTCGACTGCTAACCGTGCATCGCCCAGCGTCACGGGACAAATTGGATGGTCCTCACCCTAACAGAAAAATATTTTTGAGTACTATTTGCAACACAGACGCGAATCTTGTAAATGGCTTGTGAATTGTCTTGATGAGAACATTCGTATTCTTCAACAATTTAAAATAAATGAATGATATTTGGTGAGAAAATTGAACTTAAAGTTTATATGAATCAGCATGATTTTGTATCAGATATATAAAAAAATACAGTTTTATACGCTGGTAATAAACGACTTTCGAGTTTGTTTTTGTCAAACAGACTTAATTACTATTATCAATTAGTTTGTAAACACTCACAGCAATGGTAAAGCCCGCCTCAGTCATTTTACTTCTGAATAATTGAGTGTTTTCAGCAACTTTCGTTGTCAAGTCCGTTCCATCCATAAGTAGGTCAAATACCTGAAATACGCATGGAAATCTTAAAAACGTACAAGTTGTAACAAACCTGCAGCAGATTTGTAGCAATGCTATTCCTGCCAACAACTTGTAAATACGATGTGTTCGCACTGCTTGTTCCCAGCTTGTTGACGAGTTGTCAACGACTTGTTGACAACTTGCTACAAGGTTGTTGAGCTCAACAGACTTGTTACAAGTTGTTCCAACAACTTGTTGTCGTCCTCTGGGGTCCGTTGTATAAAAAAGTGATTAAAGTTAACGATAGTTAAGTGGAAATGTCATCCAATAAGAAGCGCGTATTTGAGAGTTAATCACTATAACTACAAAATAGTGATTAAAAAAGTGATTAAGAGTTTTATACAACCAGCCCTGCAATTCAACAATTTCAACAATTTGTTGACAAGTTGTGAGTGACAACCTTGTAGCAACTTGATGAAATAACAGCATTGTTGACAAGCTTACTACAGGCCTGTTGCAAACTCCCACATCTTAAGTTGACAAGTTGTGAGATTTTTTCGTGTGTATAGCTTTAGGGTTATCCTTACTGACCAAAAAACACACACACACACAACAAACTTAACATCACGAAAACATGTAAAAAAACGAATGTGAAATCATGAATTGAAAAAAACTGACATGAAAAGCAAAAAGAACCAAATCAACAAAATATTATACGTCCTGACCTTACTCGCTCCGGCCACTACGGGAGGAGGCAGAGTGATTGAGAAAAGATAGGGTCGAGATTTCTGACGTAAAAGTGCGATCAACTCTTTTGAACCTGTCGTATATCCACCTGGGAAATTTAAAATGACATTCAAAAACTCGTTAATAATTCATGAAGAAAATTCAAAAGAAACGAATGTTTAATCAATGTTTGTAAATCGGGCGAAAATAGTCTGAACTAGTTATGTCCAAGATTGTAGGTATAGGGTCGGGTTTCTTGCCTGGCAACATGTGATTGGTGTGGTTTCCAAAATAAACACTCGAATATTTATTAACGTGTTTTTTTTTTCATTTCAAGTTTTTATAGTATAGAGAGCTAATATCAGATTTTCGTTTCGGCAAAGCTGCAACGTACGCACTTTATTGCGCTGTTTCGAAATTTCTGGATCATGCAATATCATGGCAAAAATCCAGAAGAATCATCTGGATCTAGCCTAATTTGTATCATAATCGCACCCATATTGTATGTCCATTTTGTCATATTTAGTTATACTCTTCTTCACTGCAAACGAAAAATCTTGATATAATTTAAAATATAACTATACCATTCCCAAGTTATAAAACTTCGTTTGAATTCAGTATAGACTAGTTTTAAATACATGGAATTACACATATTCCAACAATTTTTTTTTCCCATATGGAGTAATTACGAAAACCGAAATATAAAACCAAAATCGGACAATGCCCTGTAGAATATTTACGAGGAATTGTTTTACGAATTGGAAGTCTATACACAACAACTGGCCTCTGTAGTTTCGACAATTTATAAATATCACACTGATCGACAGATACTAATTAGAAATATTTATGGAATTGAAAGCATGTGCTTGTTCGCTTTTCTTTCCTTGTTTTTATTTTCTTTGATATGTAGGCTCCTGCGGTTATTAGCTTTTGTACTGAGCTGTAGTACGGGCTATCGAACTGTTTGCATAATAAGCGGAATTTATGTAGGGTAGATCTTCTTGCCTGTTTAAGACATCCAGCATTTTTGAGGACAACTCACAGGTTCTTTCTCAGAATGTGCAAGTATTTCCGAGAACCCAGAAAGCTCGTAAACTGAGCTCTAAATCTTAGATAAGCGCTGGGCAAATACTGGCTGTCTGCTTGGCTTGTTGAGGTTGACAGTTGACACTGTGCCAACAATGTGACCCGGTATCAAAGTTGGAACTGGTGAAAACATGGACTCTGTAACCTGGAGTGGTCAGGAACCATTGAATTATTAAGAAAGCATCGGATTGATAGGAATGCAACTACCTCGGAAAAATAAAAGGGCCGACGAAGAGCCTTCGCTCGAAACGTCGAAGTTCTCCTTGTATTTTTCAGGGAGTTGTATCCCTATCCAGCCGATGCTTTCTTATTATTGCCACTACCTATACTGGCACAAACAGTTCAACGGCATCTTCTAAACATATCTTGGTATTGATGATATTGACGACCCCTCTCCGCAGTTTAATGTTGTTACCCCCTCTCCCCCAGTTCAACTTCGAGATTGTCTCCGATGGTAACTCCGAATCGTAATGACTAATGGACCACTAGGCCGGAACAGCAGTTCATTTCCGATTCCGCATTTACATTTCTGGTTTCCTTATGTACCTTCTGTGTTTGCTCACAGGAAATTCCCCTTAGCGGCCCAATATTCATTCGCAACTACAGGAGTTTCATTTGCAACTAGCGAGCGACTCGTCAACAAGGAAGAGGCCGCAAAGAGTCTTTTAAATGCGCAAGAATGTTGTGTCGTGTGATTTGGCTTGTACTTTCCGTGTCTAATTTGGCAAATTCGTTAGCAGACAGATGTTCAAACAATCGCAAAGGCACTACAAATAAATGCCATGTTTCATACAAACACGGAACGCAAGGGCCTTTATTTAAAGTTACCAAAAAACATTTTGTTAACACGCGAATGTTTTTTTTGGTAGTATCATCGGAGGATCCCAGAGAAGAGTGTTCGTTGAATTTGAATGTTGGGGACATTTTAAAAAGGTCAGTACAAAAATCCGAACAATCTAGTGTAGCAGTACATCAAATCGGTTGTGTATGCCACAGCCCGGCAAGGATGTCTTTCTGCCGAGCGGAGAATTTTACTGCGAATGATGTCATTTTATATCTTACTATCTTCCGTCATTGCCGTGTGACCGGCGCAGATCTGGCAGTCTGGGGACGAGCTGCGGACTTGCGGGTGTTGTATTTAATGGATGACGTCATTCTACAAGACAACGGCGAAACGAAGGATGATTTACAAGGCTTATTTAATATCGGGACATTGACTTTACGCAATTTGAAAAACAAGACAATACCCCGTATGTTTTTGTCCTATATTTGGGAAAAAATGGCCGAAATTCAGTTGAGTAAAATACGGTTAGGATCAACTGTGAATATTTTGAAAACAACAATGCCGTATTTACAGTCACTTGAGTTATCTGGAAACGACCTAAGAGCCCTACCAGATTTCCCATGGTGCAACAGGAGTTTGAAACTGCCGAGAAAATTGTCCCGTACTTTCACCATGAACGCGTATTATTCGCAAGGGGCGACAATAAATCCGCATGTATATCGTCGCTTTTACGCAGTTCACTTCAATCCGGGAATACGCGACTTCAAAATTCCTTCGGGTAGTTTGGATAAGATTTCGATACGTGGCGACAATCTGAAGTCTATTGATTCGACGATGTTTCATGGAGTAACGGGTTTAAAAGTTATCGATTTAAGCTTGAACAAACTAAGCCATATTCCTGAGCGCATTTTCGAAAAAACACCAGATGTCGTCTCGGTAAACTTTGCAAATAACAATCTCACTTGGTTGGATGGGAAAACTTTTGAGAACTTGACAAATCTTCGAAAATTGGATGCCGGGCACAACTATATTCACACGATACAAAATGGTTTTCTGTCGGACAAACTGGTGAACTTAGAAGCGATTGAGTTTGAAAATAATCTGTTGCGTGTTATCGAAGCGCGCGCTTTTCCCCGTAGCGTGCTTAATGCGTTGAAGAAAATTAATTTGCGCAAGAATAAATTGCGCGAAGTGCCGCAGTTTGGTTTCTACGTTCGAAATTTGAAGACTTACGACATTTCTGAAAATGGGATAGACTTTGCGGGCTTTGTAAGGACAGTTGATAGAATTTTTATGCCTGACTTTTTATATGTTCACACCAATTCAGGAAGTTCTATCGATACACCAATAAATTTTCGAAATGAAAAAATTCTCAATCTCGAACGCAACGCCATTGAACGTTTCGACTTGACGGAATTCAATAAAACAAGATTGATAACACTCGAGTTCATTTTAAAAGTTTTTACGATAAGTTTAACGGGAAACCCACTTCATTGTGATTGCAAGACGCGTGAATTGCAAATAAAGCTTTTAAATTGGACAAAAGGAAACACTGAGATCACTGAGAAGGATTTTGAAAGTTGGGTATGTCACACACCACCGGAATTACGTGGAATGAAAATTTTAAACGTCCCATCGAAAGACTTAAGATGCGAAAGGCGTTGCGGTAAATGCCCCAAACGTTGTACTTGCTACCGAAGCGATTCCGACTCTGTGACGCTCGTAGACTGTCGGAGACGAAACCTGACGATGCTACCCAGCATACTTCCAAACGGTATGGTTGAATTACGTTTGGAATACAACCAAATCGAAAACTTAACTTTTTCAAAAAACACGGAAAACGTTACCTCGCTTTATGCAAGTCATAACAAGCTACAACGCGTTTCCCTTACTTTAAAGCATTTCCCTTCGAAATTAAACGAAATCTATTTGGATTCAAACAAGCTAACAACACTCCCCAACGGTTTTCGAAATTTCACTCTATCGAGGATAAACTTACAGAATAACTTTTTCACGTGCGGCTGTGAGAATCGCTGGATGAAAAGTTGGTTGAAACAGCAAAGCAAAGCGTTTGTCGGCGGTGCGGAAAGTGTGGCTTGTAGCTCGGGTGGTATGAATCAAGCAAAACCGTTAGTTTCTGTCAAAGATACGGATTTTGTTTGCACAGAAACAGTCAAACCAAACGGCTATAATGTTAATGAGATCAAAGCCATCTCTGCTTACGTTTTGGCGGGATTTCTATTCACGCTTCTCGTAATGGTTGCATTAATTTATCGATTTCGTAAAGAACTTAAACTTGTATTGTATACTCGTTTTGATTGGCACCCGTTTGATCGTGTCGACGATTCCGACCCATCGAAAGTCTACGACGCGTTTGTGTCATTCAACATGTGCGACAAACGATGGGTGATGGAAACACTGCAGAATAAACTCGAAAATCATCATCCATCGTATAAATTATGCATCCACTATCGGGACTTTATCCCGGGGGCACCAATCGCCGAGACTATCCTGGAGAGTGTCAAGAAAAGCCGGCGTATGATAATGGTTTTGTCGCGAAATTTTATTCAAAGCGAATGGTGTATGCTGGAATTCCGGGCGGCACATCGCAGGGTTTTGAAAGGTCGCACGAACTATCTCATAATCGTACTTTTTGACGACGTCAATGTCGACAGCTTGGATGATGAGTTGAAGTTGTATTTGAAGACCAACACGTATCTCAGTGTTCAGAGCAAATGGTTCTGGCAACAATTGAAGTACGCGCTACCACAAAAGAAACAGGAAACGAGTGATGGTTTCCTAGGCAACCAGGCACTCGACTCTGATGAAAAATACATTCAGGCATAAACTGGTTGTTTTTATATCATTGCACACACACGCACTAAATCTCCTCACAAGACTAAGAATACATAAATAACATTACGTAAGTTAATTCCATTTCAAATTTACTGAGCTATTTGAAATGTAAACCAATTAAATACATACACATTTATTGTATATAGAAAACGGCCTTAGCCTAGCCCGCATTTCGGGTGTTCCGCCAAAGGTAGAACTTCTGACATGCAGGCTCCTCGAAGCATGGGTCAATTTGGTATAATTTAAATTTATATATATCATGGCCTATACATATACCGTATGTACTACATACTATATTATACTAATACAGGTACTTATGTGTAAACGTCCACAAAGTTGTTGAAGTCTTAGTTAATTACTCCTTTTGCCCGTCCAACTTCGATAAAAGCATTTGTACATTGTTCAATGTCTTCATGACTGTGTGACGCTGATATCTGCACTCTAATACGAGATTTACCTTGGAGAGTAAAAACAAAATATGTCTTATTACGCTGAACTACAGAGTCTCGTACTATGATTTCCGTTTGAAGTAACACCGGACGAATAAGAAACGATCCTTAGAACTTATACAGTTATAGAACTAGTTATCCAGTATAAATAAAGTTAGTTTCGTTTATGTTTCCTCCTGTAGTAACACTGGATAAATGAGAGATGATCCTCACTGGACCTCTACGGAGAACAGTTTATAATTAGAACTGATATAGCTATCCAGTACAAACAAAGCTAGTTTAGTTTAGGTTTCCTCCTGTAGTAACATTTGATCAATAAGAGATGATCCTTACTGAACCTCTAGAGAAAACAGTTTAGAACTGATATAACATCGGCTCGTTATAACACTGCCGTTACCACTAGTCAATATACTTACCAACAGGAACAACTGGAAATGTAAATCCAATCACATATATATCTCTCTCTGAAAAATGCAAGTCCTGTAAGCATACAGTGAGTACCACAGGGAACACAAATACAGATTTAACAGACAGACATTCATAAGGTACGTGAAATATACTCCGCATGTTAATATAATAACTCACTTAGCATTTCATCAGCAAACTCGACTGCTAACCGTGCATCGCCCAGCATCACGGGGCAAATTGGATGGTCCTCACCCTAACAGAAAAATATTTTTGAGTACTATTTACAACATGAGCGGCCGTGCAGTTGTATCAGTTTGTATATCCGATACAACATGTGCAGAGGCGAATGTTGTAAATGGCTTGTGAAACATTCGTATTCTTCAACAATTTAAAATAAATGAATGATATATTTGGTGAGAAAATTGAACTTAAAGTTTATGTAAATCAGCATGATTTTGTATCAGATATACAAACTCCTTCACCTTTCTTCATCAATTATTAATGAGTTTCACAAGCAAAAAATACAGTTTTATACGCTGGTAATAAACAACTTTTGAGTTTGTTTTTGTCAAACAGACTTAATTACTATTATCAGTTAGTTTCTAAACACTCACAGCAATGGTGAAGCCCGCCTTAGTCATTTTACTTCTGAATAATTGAGTATTTTCAGCAACTTTCGTTGTCAAGTCCGTTCCATCCATAAGTAGGTCAAATACCTGAAAATACGCAAGGAAGCCTTATAGTACGCGCGTAAAAACGCACAAGTTGTAACAAACCTGCAGCAGACTTGTAGCAATGCTGTTCCAACAACTTGTCATCAGGATGTGTTCGCACTGCTTGTTCCCAGCTTGTTGACACAACGGCTTGTTGATAACTTGCTACAAGGTTGTTGAGCTCAACAAACCTGTCACAAGTTGTTCCAAAAACTTGTTATCGTCCTGCAATTCATCAATTTGTCAACAAATTGTGAGTGACAACCTTGTAGCAACTTAATATAAAATAACAGCATTGTAACAACTTGTTAACAACTTGCTACAAGGTTATCGAGCTCAACAGACTTGTTACAAGTTGTTCCAACAACTTCTTATCGTCCTGCAATTCACCAATTTGTTGACAAGTTGTGATTGACAACCTTGTAGCAACTTGATGAAATAACAGCATTGTTACAATTTGTTGACAAGCTTGCTACAAGGTTGTTGAGCTCAACAAACCTGTTACAAGTTGTTCCAACAACTTGTTATCGTCCTGCAATTCATCAATTTGTCAACAAATTGTGAGTGACAACCTTGTAGCAACTTGATAAAATAACAGCATTGTTACAACTTGTTGAGAAGCTTGCTACAAGTGAAATCACGCATTGATAACGCTGGCATGAAAAGCATAAAGAACCAAATCAACAAAATATTATACGTCCTGACCTTACTCGCTCCAGCCACTACGGGAGGAGGCAGAGTGTTTGAGAAAAGATAGGGTCGAGATTTCTGACGTAAAAGTGCGATCAACTCTTTTGAACCTGTCGTATATCCACCTGGGAAATTTAAAATGACATTAAAAAACTCATTAATAATTCATGAAGAAAATTCAAAAGAAAAGAATGTTTAATCAATGTTTGTAAATCGGATAAAGATTTGTCCTGATTTACATAAACTTCAGCTTTGATTTTCTCGGCTTAGACAATGTTTATTTTTAAAATTACTTCGCCAATGAACTCATAAGATGGGTGGTTCTTTAAGTACGATAAACATTCGCATCCGATCTTTATCTCGCCTTCGGCTCGAGTTTGTATATCAGATAAAGATTGGCTGCTCATGTTTTAACTAGTACTTAACAGCGCATTTAATATCGTTTGAAAGTTTATGCCAAGTTCCTAGTCAGCCAATTTGAATACTCTCACGTGAGAAAACGCAGAGAAAAAATAAGTTCATAATTGTTTATATACCTGCAGCTCCACCCAAAGCTTTGCCCAATGTGGAGTTGATAATATCAACGCGTCCTTTGTAACCACAGAATTCCTCTGTACCTCTAAAGGCAGAATTATCAGACACAGCTGATGCGTCGAAAATTGTCACTAGAATCTAAATTTCATATTCAAACAAACCATTACCTTCCAGTTTTTCCAAAGAATCCGGTGGCGTGACATTCGTCAACGAAAATGATCGCCCCGTATTTCTCAGCCAAGAAAACAATGTCTCTAAATTGGTCATAAAATTAAAAGATAGTTTGTTTCATCCATTTTCATTAGCGAAATCTTTTTGACTATACCTCTCAAAATTGATTTGTTTTAGCTTTATTCTCTGGTTATCTATCTTTTTAAGTGCATGCATTTGCCAGTTGAGAAACATAAATATAGCTACATTTTGTCAATTTAAATACAATCATAGTCATTGATGCTTTAAAATTGACGCCATATTTATATAGCAATATAAGCAAAACTTACTGAACTTCAGACATCACTTTCCCTTTGGCGTACCATCTAAAATCTCTTCCTTTTAACATAATTTTACAGATAAAGCACTAAACATACTTTTTAAGTTGTTTGCCGTTTGAGAAACGTATTAAAAATTAGAAAGATTGAATATAGTCATAACTAAGTCTAAGTGGAAAGGTATAGTTTTGAGCGCGTGTTACGTAACATACAAAATAGTCTCCTCTTTATGTGCGGTACTCTCTCCTTGATGAGTAAA